AAAAATGCTACTTTCAATTACTTTAAATTTTTTAAATTTTCAGATACCTTTATATTTATTTTTTAATTCCAACCTTCTTTTACTTTTTAATTTTTTTAAAAATTTCCACAAAACTTTTTATTTTTTTAAATTTTCCACATTCTTTTACTTTTTTTTTAAAAGAGAATTCCACCTATTTTTACTTTTATATATTTTTTTATTCAATACTTCCCTTTTTCTTATTTTTTAAATCATTCCCGAAATTATTATTTAAAAAAAANACTTTTATATATTTTTTTATTCAATACTTCCCTTTTTCTTATTTTTTTAAATCATTCCCGAAATTATTATTTTTGTTTTAAAAAAAATATTTTCGGATTTTTTTTATATAAAAAACAAAAAATAATAATAAAAATATTAATAGTGATAATTCAGCTTTTAATTTTTTTGGTATTTTTATCCTATAATAAAAAGTATAATAAAGCTAAAATAATAGTAGGTTAAAACCCCCCTAAAATATTTACATAAAAGAAGTGATAAAAAAAATTAAATGTTGTCAAAAATTAGGTGTTCACATAGCCTAAGAGGTTTTTTTCAAGTAACTTCTTACCACCTCAGTATTTATCTCAATAGGAGAATGATCAGAAACACATGGTACCTCATACACTGCTTCTAAGCTACTATGTTTAGTAAACCATGATGCATTCCCAAACACCCAATCAATGTTACTGTATATTCTTTCTCCAGCATATCTTTTGTTACACCACGACCACTGACATCCTTTTCTATTTAATTGCCCCACTCCAATATCTTTTATACAATTCTGAAAATCTACTATCTCATTTTGATGAATAGGCTGACCATTTATTCTATCATTGACAGATAGAACACTGTTAAAGTCTCCTATCACCAACCAAGACTCTTGCATTGTATTATAAATCATCCTTAGTTGATCTCATAACTCCTTCCTTTCATGTAACTTGTTCTTGCCATACACAAAAGTAATACAGCATTCAAATTGGGATCCCTTATCCTTCACTTGACAATGGATCACTTGATTAGTGACCATCAGGATGTTGACTTGCACCTTAGCATCTTTCCAGAATACCAATATTCTGCCAATAGGATTTATCTGTTCATCTGAAAAAATCTGCCAGTCCTTTCCAAATTTTCTTTTAACTTTACTAACACTCCTAGGCTTTATCTTTGTCTCAAGGCAGCCTAGTAGAGTAATTTTATTTTTCAGCAGATACCTTGATTTCTCTCTGCTTATAGGGCTTATTCAGCCCTCTTATATTCCATGCACTTATTATCATGGGGGATTTTCCTCATTGAGGTCAATCCCTTCAGTCCTTCTTACAGTGCTGCTAGGCTCTTGTATTGTCAATGTACTGTATTTGTTAGTCATTAACAGCTTTTCTATATCATGACCATTCAGTACTTTTTTGTTGTTTACCTTCATCTTTTGCTTTCCTTTAGATCTTTGCTGTGGCTGAAAATTCTCCTCTTGATTTTCTCTGTTCTGATTTTCTTTTTGTTCTTTCCCCTGATCATTCATCTCCTTATCCTGTGCTATTGCTTTTTCCTGCACCTTTTTTTCCTGCACCTTTGCTGTTTTTCCTTGGTCCACTGTGGCTTTTACTTTCCATTGCATCTTCTTTTGTTGCTTCATTCCAGCTTGTCTATCCTGTTTCTTCTCGTTGTATTTTTGCTTCTCGATTGAGGCTTTTTCACAATTTACTTCATGTTTGCCTATTTGGAAGCAAGCTTCACAAAAATCTGGTTTCTATTCATACTCTAGTTCTTGTTCCCTGTGTATACCCTCTTCCTCCTCAATTACCAATACATTTGGTAACTCCTGTGATATATCCATTTCAATCAACATCCCAACATATGAAATTCTTTCACCTTCTTCAGTTAACCTATCAGAGCATATAGGTGTCCCAATACAGCTTGCTATTCGACCTAAATTTTCCTTTGTCCAATACTCTACTAGCAGCCCTGGGAATATCACCCAGATTGGAATATTCCTGGTTTTCTCCTTACTCATTTGGAATTTAGGTTCTCATTGCTTCAATATCATTGGTCGATTATTAAATGTATATGGTCCTTTCTGTATAACCAGCTTCTTATCATCTTCAGATTCAAATTTGAAAACAAAATATTCATCATCATGAAGAAAAACTTGTGGAGTTGCTACAAAGTTCCACACACCATACACAAACTTAAGCATGTCTTTAAACGATGGATTTCCTCCCATTACATACCCAATTAGCGATGCCTGCCATTTCTGAATTTGCTCCTTGACTTCAATTTGATTCAGTCGAACCATCTTCACTCCATCCTTGATAATTTGGGGGTAATACTCCAATTGCATCCCCTGTCGTTGAGATCTGTTTCCTTTAACCACTTCCGCTAAGTTTATCTCTATTCCCTCAGAATTTGGCCTCTGATTTGAGAACATAAGTTTCCTAGCTGCTTTCGCCATTTCCATCTCATTTGGTGCAGGATCTGCAGGAGTCTTAGCTATCGGAGTTGCCTGTGCTTGAATTGCCACCAGCTCCTCCGATTTCTTCCTCTCTTGTCCATGCAGAACAGTTGGTGCACTCCCCATGCCTTTCATCCAATGGAATAGTTGCACCGAGTCTAGAGCTTGGGGAATCTCCGTTTCTGGTATAACTAGTCTAGTATCGTTATCATCTGTCTTATCTTCCTCGTCTACAGTCGATTCCTTAGCTATGGAGTTCTTCTTCCTCTGTCTCGCCATCTCCACCAGTGCAAGTTAGCAGATCTTGCTTAACGTGCGCCGAGAGATGTAGGAATTATTAACGTGCGCCGAGAGCTGCCTGGCCTTTCATTTTGTTACCCAAATAAATAAAAGGAAGAAGGTACGTTGATTACAAGACATTTTAATATATTATTATTAAATAACGTACCTTCTTTTTTTATTTGGGTGAAAAAAATGAAAGATCCGGTTCAATAATTTACCCTTCCAATGTCGTGAATCTCATGATTTCAGTCTATCGTCATTATTAGAGATTATACTAAAATGTGCGTTGAATGAAGTATAACGAGTCAACAATATTGGATAGCAAAGAAAAATATAATCATAGTTTACTTAAATTTATATTCATATTTAATCATCTTAAGATATACAATTTCATTTCATTTAATAAGTAAACAACAACAACAACAACAACAANTTTTGGAATTGCTTAATACTTAAGCCTTTGCGTTGGACAAAATAATTAAATGTTATAAACTGGATAGAGTAAAATTCTTAACTAGTCTAAGTCACAAATAACTAATTAATGCCACATGTCTGTTTAGGATAATCTTCCGGGCCAAGTCCACCAAACTTGTACGAAAGTTGGCAATAACTTTCACAAATAACCCCAAAAGCAAAGTCGTCTTCCTGTAATTGTAAACAAATCAGGTGTCAAAAATAATGGAGGTAAATAACGCAACTTGCCTGCTTACCAATTACTCAAGCTTCTATCTTCTCCTATTAGCTTTGCAGAAGAATTACATGAAATTTTAAAATGGTGTTATATAAAATCTAAAGATTGTCACAACATACATTTGTGAAGTTCATGACGGAGGACGAATGGATGAGACGGATTACGAAGTGATAGGTTTTTAGGCTGATAAGCTTTTAAGGAAGAGATGCATGGGATACCTTACGTGAATCCCACATCTAGGGGGAGGGG